AAGCTACAAACCTGTTGTGATGAAAAAAATGAATTAATTAGAACCAGAGTAAATTGCAGAAAAAGTGTAATCCAAATAAATTGTTACAGAAAAATTATATAAAATATTATTTTATAATTGTATTATATATTATTTGATACATACCAGGCCTACTATTTTAGCGGCTTTCTCAAATTTCCATCTTATCAGCATCCCAAATATGCATGGAAAGACAATAGTGACCAGAGCTATTATTATCTGAACATATGGAATTATAGCATCCGCCACAGCGTACCAACTACGGGTGTACAGAAATAAACACCACGGCATCATAACCACAGCAAACAGGGTGGAAAAGGCTGTCATACTCACACTGTTAATAGATACAAATGAATTAAGTTACTCAGACTATAAACAGTTGTCGATATAGTTGACTAGAAAACGATTTTGTTATTATTTCACTGAGTCTCTGGGGATGGCCTGACGTAAATCCTGATTGAACAATCTATATGAACAGTACGGCTGCCATGATTGTGGTGACAGACCTAACCGATGACTGAAACATTTTAACCAACTTTACCTGAGAGCAATGTCTGCTTCTGTCCAATATGTCAGTATATTTGAATTGATTCCACCAGGGCAGCAGGCAATAACGATAGTACCAACCGCTAGGCCTGGTGACAAATCGAATGCATGTGCCAGAGCAAAACCGATCAGAGGCATCAATCCAAACTGACACAAGAAACCAATAAAGAGTCCAACAGGTCTAATAAAAATATACTTCAGGTCTTTCAGCGTAAGTGTACATCCCATTGCAAACATCATGATGACGAGCGCTATGGTCATATTTATTTGGTTTCCAAGAATAAGATTTTGTGGTGGTCCTTGCGGTGACATCGCACTGATGTTGGTGGGCTCGACTGAGCTGTCGGGTACTACCGTTGTGTCCATAATGTTGAGCCAAGAAGACAGTTCTTACTGCATGGTAAAATAATTGAAGACATCAAATACTAGTAATTCATCTACATGAGTTATCTTCTAAAGTGGTGCGATATAACGGGTCATATGTGTTATAATTTTTTGGAAGTGTTAAGTTGGAGATGGAATATGAACAAAAAATATATTGTGGGATTAATATTTATTATAAGCTACAACTCTTGCGTTAAAAGGACATATGTTTCAAGTTCATGATAAATCAAATGATTTTATCAATATACAGTATCAAACAAAAATATTAAACAATACACGTTCTTGTCAATGTTCGTGAATGGGAAAGGTTATCTCTCAGATGACGAATTGTTAATGGTAGTTTTGTATGATTATTGTTACGACATATACATTGTAATATCAAAATAATCATTATTTTCAAACGGTTCCGATTTATTTGATAGAGTCTGACTTAGCCAATGCGGAAAACCCATTGAAGTGAATATTTCTTGTTGAAAGTAGACAATCACAAAGTTATTATGAAACCCGTGTGCAGAACCTTGACGACGACTTTATGATCTTCATTTTACAAAAACAAAATGGCGTCCATTGCAATGACATAACTTTGCTTGATTTTTGTAGGGATGTCGAAGTGTCTTCCAAACATCTTTTGAGTTTTAAATATGTTTGAAAAAAAGAACAACGAACCCAATTTAGTCATCAAAAGTCTAAGAAATCATTGACAGACAATCAACTAATACACTTCAAGTTCACAAAATAAATGACGGACGAATAATGAAACAACACAACTAACAAATCGATAAGGGAAAGATACATGGCCTCATGATATGTGCAACGAAAACATAAAACAGAAATCCAAATCCAAAATTAAAGTAGTCGAAAACATAATATCACAAGAATATCACTGCACCAACGACGTACGTATTGCTGCAGCAATATTAAATCACTGTGTTGTTTGATGCTGATAAATTCAAATAAGTTGTTCATATGAGTACAGTGGTTAAACAATAATTACAATAATATCGTCATTATATAGTTTTAATAACATTATTATTTTACACATTTAGACTTTAACTCGAAAGGCTTCTTTACTTTGTTTTTGAGAGTTAGTTGTGTACCGCTGGTGACTCCGCTGGTTATGGACTGATTTCTCGTTATCCGCGCATTTTCACAAGCCCAAATATCTCTCAATAGACTCTATATAGTGAGTTCTAACAACATTACGAAGGCTAAATACCACTATTTATCAAAATAAAAACACTTACTATCTGTCGACAATTAAGGCTATTAGGAAAAGGCGTTATGGTGATATTTTCTAAAAATAACATTAATTATTCGTTAAAAATCCGACAAATATACGCATGTAGAAGTTTCATCCAGTCACTACAGTCCCGACAAATTGGGTTACCCGAGGTGAACTACGTACCCCCAAACTGTTTTTCATATAACCTATTGTTTATGTTGCTTGGTATTTGTGATAAGTCTAAACGTGATGCACTTTTACTACTGTATTCTATTATATTGTATTGTGTATTTTATTCTATTGTATTCTCTATTGTATTGTATTGCATTGTATTGTAAGTTGGAGTGATGACCCCCTAAAAACAAGCAGAGTTATTTACGATGTGTATGTTAAACGCGCAGTGACCACACGCCATTATTTTCTTTAACACAAAATAAAAAATAAAACAACAGATCAAATGGCCTTAGTAGAGCAAGGGTTGAAGTGCGCAACGAAGACAGACTATCATTAAAACAACTCGGCGTACAAAAGGTGCATACATGGTGGAGACAAAAATGCGTTTTACTCCACCTAAAAGACCCAATCGATATTTGTTATCATTTACTTGATTTCAGCACGTTCGTTTCATACACTCATTTAGCAGTTACTGTAATGCAATTATTTGTTCACATTTAAACCCTACAAGTACTATGAATTGAAATATCTATAATCACATGTACCGAGATCTAATGCCATTGCCAACACTGTACTCTCATTGTTATTTATCGTAAACGAGACACCCTCCAGACATGTTACGTTTACGTGCGCTGTGTTCACGTACTACTACAATCGGTTGCTATGACAACGTGAAACAACATAAGTTAAGTAAAGACCAACTGATTTAGTCTGCCCAGATCTTTCCACAAACTTTCATATTTTTTGAGGTAATTACATGTCGTTTTAAAGTAATAACAAACCTACGAAAATGTGAAGTGCTGTAGTGATAATTTTTGTTTTTTGTAATTTTCGGAAAATGTTACGACTTGTAGGGAAATCACGTACTTGGTAAACAACCTAGTAGTAGGGCTTTACTAAGCTCGGTTGGCTCGGTTTCTGCGTGCATGTGCAAAAGTAGAGAGAGAGAGAGGCTCAGTCAGTGAGTTATTGAGACTTACAACAATATATATTTGAAAACTGGCAGTTATCTAAGATGATTACGTAATGACTTAACCGTATTTATAACTTACCTGGTATCTGTACTGGTTTATTTGCGTAGCCACACTGCACAACGTGTGTACACTTTGGTTCGGTAGCTGCGCGTACTAATAACAGAATACAATAAACTAAAACTATATATACGAACTTACCCACAGGTCAGGGCCGAATTACAATACCGCAGTGCTAAACGTGAGACTCTGCATTTAGTTGTCAATGCCCTGGTATTACACGTGACGTGAGAAGAAAATTTTATATATCGGGTTAGTAATCCGTTTAATACATGGATTTCGCAGATTGAAATTGAGTGCATATTTATGGTAGATGGGAACCGTTTGTTAACAAATTACGCCTAGGAGACTAAGTTCAAGTACGTAACTATCCGCGTAGGAACTACTTTCACGTATAGTTATTCGATATTTACAATCCGTGGTCAGTTGCTATAGGTACCACCTGTAAGTGGAAATCGTTCTAATGTAATTAAACACTTGTTTTGATATCAGGTGAATATGTAAGCACGGCAGTTTTGTTGACATATACTGGGCTAGACGTGTCTTTCTATACCTTGTCTTGACCTTGTCTTGACCTTGTCTTGTCTTGACCTTGTCTTGACCTTGTCTTGACACTTATGGTTATGGTTACAGTTAATGTATGTCGCCAAATTATTCCGACACTGAACATTAACAACAATATATATGCGACAACACTGCCGTACGATAACTTATATTTTAGATATGTCGTGTTCACATGAAGCTGGGTGCTGGTGTTTACAAATTACGTAGATTCTTTTGTATATACATGTTAATAACATCAATTCGATAGAAACCATATGAATGAGCCTTACTAAATTCTAGTGCAAGTTGTCGCTGTTGTAGCACAAGTGTTAACATCCTGTATATATTCACCCAGTTTAACCAAAAGACTCTTGCAATAGGTACGTGTTACAAATTGCACACTGGCATTCTGGTTTGAACTACATGTATTTGCAATACAAATCAATAGCATATCTGACCCAACATGTTTAGTGGGGGAGTTCGTTTTTCTCCGATATTATCGTTAATAATGTCTAAAAATGTTAGACAGGTCTGCCTGGGCAACTATTGGGACAGTTGGTTCTTCTCCGATATTATCGTCTAATAATGTCTAGGCTAGAGATTTCTCTTTAGGCAACTATTAGGACAGTTGGTTTTTCTCCGATATTATCGTTAATAATGTCTAAAAATGGCTAAGTTAGACAGGTCTGTTTTGGCAACTATTGGAACAGTTCGTTTTTTTCCGATAGATCGATAATTTCAATATTATTGTCTAATAATGTCTAAAAATGTCTAAGTTAGACATCTTTCTTTAAGCAACTATTGGGACAGTTCGTTTTTCTCCGATATTATTTATCATCTGACATTATTTGCCTATATAATTCTATACAATTCTCAAGCAATGGCCATTGTAGCTGTTTTTAATGTATCAAATCACAGACTGCTTTGACCTTGCTAGTTTGTACAAGCCAGGGTTTTGAAACCATCCCGATATGCATATACTATAATTGATGAACAACTAAAGTTGTATTGGTGTATG